CAGGGCCCCGGCCCGGCCGTCAGCCGGCGCTGCCCCGCTGCCCTCTCCCCACCCCCAGCCCTGCCTCTTTGCAGATTGCCTCCAGAGGCAGATGCCGACCGCGCTGCTGTTTTTGCTCTTTGTTATTCTAGTTGGGGTTTGAGGATGTGATTGCAGAGCCTGAATTAACCCACTCCTTCGACAAAGTCTGGATCTGCAGCCATGCTCTCTTTGAGCTCAGCAAGTACCTGATCTACAAGCTGGTGACTCTGGTCCTTGCCATACCGCTGGCCCTGGTTGCCGGGATTGTCTTCGCAGTGCTTAGCTGCCTGCACATCTGGTGAGTCCATTTCGTCGCTTGCCACTGCAAGGTGTTTCAGTGCACAGGCTCTGCAAGCAGCCAAGAACTTTATTTCTAAAGGGAGAGAAATGGAAACAATGTATTCTCTGTGATCCAGCTCTCCACCCTTAATATGGCTCTCAGCAGCTATCTTTCCTGTCTGTGTAAGCTCCGTGGGGCAGAGTGCCTGTCCTGCCGTATGGATGGCGTCTGCCACAATGCATTCCAGCCTTGGCTGGCTTGTGTAGTAATAATCATGACTGTGTGCTTGCTTTTTAATTGGAGTACAGAGATTGTTAAGTCATGCGTATTTGAAAAACCTCAGCAGAAGTATTACTTACACCTCAAATTTTCTTATCAATCTGACGCCTTCTCAGTAAGATTACCTCTTTGATTTCATCGTCACAGACTGCAGACAGCTTTTGAGGCCCCAACTTTCTTTTTCTTTCTTTTTAGTGCCACAAAATCTACTGTCACTGCCTTACATCTGGTACATGGCCATCTCTAGGTGCACTTCCACCTAAGAAAAGAATCCCTGCCAGGCTCAGGAAGGCCGCTTCTGGCCGTGGCCCAGGTTCGTAGGCAAATACAGTAGCTCTCCAAGTCACAGCAGAACTGATAAACTTTAAATAGAAAATACTGGCAAAATGTCATGGAAGTGAATCTTGAGACTAGACAGGCAACTGATTGTGGAGAAGAAGGACATGAAGGGAAAAGAATGAGACTGAGGAAAGAACTGAGAATCTGTCAGTCTGTAGAGGACGGGATGAATGTGGGTGATCAATACCGTTCCTGCAAACCAGGATTTTCCATATACATGGGTTTTAGGTAAAGTCTTGTTTGACTTGAGTAGCACTGGAATCATGAAGACGTTGTTTATTCTGAAGAAAGCTTCATTAATGTTCTAAGTCAGTGTGATGTAAAGAAAACAAAATAAAGTCCAGAAACTGGGAAAAAAGAAAACCTAAAATAACAGGAACACCCTGGTTATCTGAACAGCTGATTGCAATCTTTTGGTTGTAGATTTCAGTTTTCAAAAGTGGAGTGGAAGTTTATGAGTTGACAACATTGCCATGAGCCACCTTGGAAACTGAATAACTAGAATTTTGGAGAATAGCGTTTGCCTAGTGTCCAGAGGAGTTGTCATTTAAATTAGAGCTGTCCACCCGCTAGTTCAGGGTCTGAATCACCCCATAGGCTACTTCTCTAGTCCCCATATTATTCTGAGCACTGCAGAGTGTCCCCAGACTTTTAGTTCTGTGAGCTGTCATGGGGCTGCACTGTACCCTGTGACTGCAAAGGAGCGTAGTCGGCATGCAGACTTCCAGTAGTGGAATATACATGGGCTAATTCATTAATGTCCAGTTTATTAAGACTGTATTGAGTTTTTGTGCTTTAGAATGATGTTGGATCTGGATTTCACTGCCTGGATGCATGAGTTTCACTGAACCAGCTCAGAGGTCAATTTCTATTTATGCAAGTGGTCCCGAGGGGCTTTGTCAGGAACTGTAGGTTCTCAGGACATCTGAAATAGAACTGTCTGAATATGGCACTTGATTTTGAAAAGTTTGCCTTGACGTTCTGTGAACACACTTATTCCCCACCAATTTTTTTTTTCTTAAATTCATTGTCAATACCGAGATGATCTTTCATTTTGATCTTTCTTGCACCTGGAATGGGTGTGAAAGAATCATATAATGTAGTAGCTCCGTCTGCACTGGCTTGGGCCTCCTCCAGCACTAGGATCCAAAGCCAGCACAGTCTAGTCTTCGCACAGAAACAAGCTGGATTTGTTCTAGCACAAAGGTGGAGCACACTGAGCCTGTGTTAATGTCTGTGCAGCTCGTGATGTTGCAGATTTGTTGCAAGTATGGCTTTCAGTGCCTCTCTGCGTTTCAGAGGGTAGCACAGGAGCATCTGATAAACAGGCAGCAGAGCGTGGAGGCATGGGGACTCCGAAACACATGGCGCTGGCTCCAGTGGAGTCCCATTGGGTCTAGGAAAATAGTAGCTCAAAATAGTAGCTCCTTGTTTTGTGGGTAAGAGGAAGGGAATTCCAGTATAACCCTCTCTTAAGCTGTTGAAACGTCACGGGAAATTCTGGACACACCCTCCCACGTGGCCAAGTGCAGGAAGGGTTAGCATAAGCACAGTCTCTGTGCTTCATCTTCATCACCCAAACAATTAAGGTGAGGATGTTGGTCAGTCTTTGGGGAGCTGTTTATGAGACTAAATTTGAAGCTGTTTCTAAAACACTTGCAAGTCTTCAGACACAAATCTCTGTTGGTTGTCACACATGCTCTTGCAGCCTTTTCAGCATGCTAAAAATCCACAGAAGACAGACTTAGCATTCCTCACACAGCAAGGACCCCTCATGAGTTGCACTCCCCGTATCTGAGAGCAAATATTAGCTCTCTCCAGCAAAAAAGAAAGCAGCAAGCACAGGGAACATCATGGAAAGCAGAAAAAAAGCTGAGTAAGTACATACCAGTACCCTTTAATTTTCATTTTTACCTATTAAAAAGAAGTATATTCTGATTCTGTTCTCAAACTGGCTGCCTGGAGCTAGGATCCAAATTTACACTACCTGTTAAAAAAGAGATAATGGGCTGAAACTCTGCCAGCCAGCAGTTTAATGACCTACATACAAGCTAGTTCAGGGAAGGCTACTTCTCCATATTCCTCTCTTTTACTGATTGCTGTCATTCTCACCACAGAATTCTGGAAGTTTTCAGGCCAACTTTCTGTAAATATCTGAGAAAACTTTAAAATATAAAAGCCTGGCATTTATGCTGACAATCAGTGCTTCATTTGGGGATCCGTGACCTGGGTGTTGGGTCTGAAATGGGCAGTCTTCTCTCTACCCACTCACACAAGGCTTCAGCCAACTTCATGCTCCTGTCATTGGCAAGTACTTGGAGTCCCTCATGGCTTGTACTTTCATTCACAATACTAAGATGTATCGGGGGCAGATACACAAAGAGGTAGACATGTACATATACATCATCTCTTATCTCTTTTTCCGCAACTCTATTTCCATGGCTTACTGCTATTATACTCAAACCTGTAGAAGTAAAACCATCTCCCTACTGACCAGCTGACATCAAAGGAAATTGCAGTAAAGTTATGCCATGAAGGCCCACCTTATGATCTGATGTTACCTTGATGCCTCTTTGTTCCTGCCCAGTAGGTATTCTTTGGCTTCTGAAAAGGAAGTAGTGGATGCTGTCTTGCTTTCTTGTTAGTTTTATCTTTCTGAATCTGTGCAGGTGCTGTGAGGTGTAACATTTGGTGTCAGTGCACTTTATATACTGTGTATAGGTCCTGGAAGGCTCTGGGGGTTATGTTTGATCACTCATAAATATCCTGAGGGCTAATGGGACCCTACAAGAAGCTCTAGAGCTGCTAGCTAATATTTAATGGGCTGTTTACAATCCTTGCTTGAACCGCAGTACCATGCAAGACGTTAATTGAAGATCCTGATGTAATGCACATGCAAACCATGAATTGGATAATTTAGCCGCTGAATGGTATAGTATTTGAAAAATAGCATCAAGACGTGTTTGAGATTCCATTTTGGAAAACTTCACAGGAGAAGGTGTGATTTTTCTCTTTAAAGCAGAAATCTGAATGAATGGAGAATGATTTCTCCAAACACATTGCCCAACTCTGTGAAAAGTTGAGCTGCTTCCAGACAATCTGAAAATACCCTGATCAGTGAGAATTAAATCGTGCTCTGCCATTTCCAAGAGGTGTTTGGTTCCTGACAAAGTATGTCCCTTGGGAATTAACAGGAAAAGGTAACATGAACAAAAGTGAGAAGGGTTGATGGGAATAACTTTGTAGATGTCATGCCTAGAAAGAGGAGAAGAGCAGGATGGAGCAAAAGGAATAATTTGTTCTTTCCAGATCTACAGCTCCCACGAGGTGAGTTCTTCTACTTAGTGAAAGGATGATTATTTTAGAAGACATGTACATAGCATGATTCAATCATAGCTCATAAAGTCAGTTAAAGTACCCTAGCTATGCTTCAGCTCAGGTATCAGATTCAACAGAGCTTTGTTCTTCTTCTCCCTTCTTTTCATGTACCACATGGTAATACTACTAATGCCAATATTGCAGCAAATGTCAATATCCCCGAGATAGGTCAACTTGTACTCCCACTACTAGGCATTACTCAAGCAAGTAGTATCACCCATGTGGTGGAAGTGCCACACTGGACTAAACACACAGCATTGTGATTAAGGAGTAATGTTTGTTAGACAGTTCACAAAAAAAAGATATCTTCTAGTTGTGCTTCGTTATATATTTTTAATTGTGCCTGATTATCCCATGGAGGGCACATCACACCCTGATGATTTGGAAATCCTTCATGGAAGTAAAACATAGAGCACCGTAGAACCTATGCAGAACACAGTACATAACGTACTTACATTCATATAGAGAGAGAGAGAGAGAAGGAGAGAGAGACAAAGATGTACATAGATTTTAGAGATCATAAATCATACTTTTTAGGGTTTTCTTGGGTGAAAGGATTTTCTTCTCTGAGGAGATGTGTTTGAGAAATTATTATCTAACTCAACTTTCTTATCTAAGTAGACTAACTTTTATTTTAAAAAGAAAAAATACGTGCATTAACCAACTTGCTTTGGTTGTAAGTTTCACATATCCTATGGAGATAGGCATACATTTTTTTTTACATGTATTTAGCATAAAATTAGATAATAAATGTAAAAGAAATTATCAAAACATTTTGATATTTATTGTATTTAACATCAAAAGAGGTTGAGTTCTGGCACTGAGTAGGGAGTCTGTGGCAGTCCTGAGTAGTATGATCACTGCTTTTCCAGTCTTTCCTAATAAAATCTTGGTGAATCCTGACAACTCTTCCATAACATGGCATTTGTTTAATTTGTCTGCAGTTTATATGATCCTGTCTATAGAGGGTCCCATAAAAATGTAGGCTTTTGCTGCAATTGCAAAATTGAGTTGCAATTGAGTTGTATTAAAAAAATACAAGAGCGTAAATTAATTTTACATGCTAGGAAAGGAGCAGTGACATAGCCCTTGTAAACAAAGATGAAGTGGAAAAGGGGCGAAGTCAACACGAGCCGAGTAGCCATTTCTGGTGTTTTCCCTGTGCTGCTTGGAAAAATACCCTTTTTTTCCCTATGTACTTTATTGGTGTTTATCAACTTTATTCTAACATGGGAAGCTCTAATTTTATTCTGTAGACATTATATATTCTATATATGGTGATACTATATGTGGTTATAAAACACAATAGTTTATAGGGTTCAATTTAAAACTGTAGAAATATTCCAGTAACACTCAGGGATCTATATACTGTCTATATTACTCGCTGTTTCAGCAGAGAAAAAGAAAAAGTTTTAGGAAAACTATTTTTGTTTAAATCCATTGGGATTAGCTTAGACTGCAGCATAGACATATTAGGATGTTGCTTGCCTTGTATGATAAAAGCTGAGAATCTGGTTGGATAAACATTGAAAATAGCTCTTTCATTTTGACTCTTAACAATTTCTAGGCTTCAATTTTTTTTTAACTTGCCATTTTTTTCCACTTCGTTGTTCTGTGTGGTGCTCATTGGAAATACACAATAACTTATATATTTTTTCAGACTATAATAAAATAGTAAGTAAATGTTTTGATTAATACTTCCTCTCATTTCCCCCGAAGTCAATGAGAGTTCTGCAATTGTATTAAATGGAAGAAAGATAGGCCTCTTAAATTGTGAATGCAGCCGCAAACTAGAACAGAATTTATCTTTGTCAAAAGAATCTGTGGCTCCTTCTACCTAGTTCAGGAAATAGCCACATTACATATGGCACAGAGATTTTTGAAAACCATGTTCTAGTGTCACTTCAGTATAACACAAATGATTTATACATTTAATTTATCTGCACCCAAATAAGAACATCCAGCTAAAGGAAATGAACACGGGTTTTAGGCAGTAAAGTATTTAAAAAAAGGAGAATAACTTACAATACTGGTCAGTTATTACGTAACTGCAAGCCCTGGTGAACCAGCCATGTGTGCACTTCTGGCTCATCTCTGTTCTTGTTGGGCTTAGCTTAAGCCACTAGTAATGACATTGCTTTGGAACTGGGATGTACGAAGAGCGTACACAAATAATTATTAGTGCTTAGCAGACAAGAAGCACAATTCTTTCAAATATGTGGCTGTACCCTGAGTAAATAAAAATATCTTTTCCCTGATCCAGAGTTTTGACTTCATGTTACTTTAGTGTCTCACCCTTAAAAGAAAAACCTTCCAGTATTAGCAGGATCCCATTTTTCTGGAGGTTGACATGCCTCTGTACAGTATTAATCAAATGTAGCTAGAGATTGCTTTGCTGTTTCTGTTGTACGGAAGCAACTTGTAACAGAAATATTAGATGGGTATGAATGAAACATGAATGAATATGAATGGTCATGTGCGTGCGTGTCCTCTGTGTGTGTGCATGTGTGTGTGAGAGAGAAAGAGAAAAAAAAAAGCAGCAGCAGAGCAAAAGATAAAAGATAAACGAATGGCCTGAACAGACAGTAAAGGCCACTGTTTGCAGCTGACCGGAGTGGGCAGTGCAATGTTTTTGTCCAGCCCAGCAGATCACGCTCGGACAAGAGTGCAGCACAAGTGGCTGGCAACGGTGGGCCCTGCTGGCAGCAGCGGTCGGGAGCGCCGAGGCGGCAGTGCGTCCCTTAGGCCCTTCCTTCCTGCATCAGGGAGATAACGCAGAGGGTTCTTAGAAAATGCTGGTCCAAAAATTACTTCAGTGTTGCCAGTGAAGAAGACCAGAGACAGGGTGAGGACTAGACCGCGGTGCCTCTTGTCCCCCACGTGGCAAGGCAGTGACCCTGGCCAGAGGAGCATGCACGCCACAGTGCCCCTGCCTAAGTCGGTGAGAGGCTGTGGGGCAACAAAATCAGCAGAAAATGAGCGTGAGAGCGCAAAGGCAACTTGCTTAAGGTTTTGGTTAATGAAATCACCTTCCTCTTCCATAAAATCTCACATTTGAGTTTTGTCATCCTAATTTCCTACACTATAGCAGCAGTAATCTCCAAATCTTCCATTTTCTCCTTTACAGGATTGTGGTGCCCTTCGTGAAAACCTGTCTCATGGTGTTGCCTTCAGTGCAAACTGTGTGGAAGAGCCTGACAGATGTTTTCATCGTACCGTTTTTTCAGAGCATAGGCCGATGCTTTGCCATGGTTAATATACGCCTGGATCCAGAGTAACTGCCAGGGATGCAACAATTGTAATTGTATGGAATTGCAGAAGGTGTTATACCTCTTTGCTAACGTAACATGCAAGCACTTACCGTTCATTTCAAACTGTCACGATTACAATGGCTGGTTCAAGTGGGAACATACTGTTTTTCTAAAACTCATTTATTTTCAGGGGATCAATTTAAGATAGAGCAGGCAGTTTTCGTATCTCACTGTTTTAACAACAAAAGGAACGTGGAACACATTGGCAACACTTTATTTTAATGGGACATTGATTGTTAGATCACAGAGGAATTCTCGTGGAGGCTTAATAGCCATCACGGTGATAATGTTTTAAATTGCTATGACTGCTGTTATTACTGTAAATATTTAAATTGGTAGGACGTGATACTTTGGGTGAAAGTGATCTCTAGGATTTCACATTGACTACTGGAATTCCACCAGGGATCATTCTGGCCCTCAGCGTGATACACTCGATTATTATTTGCAGCAGGTAAAATGAATGTCACTCATTGCATGCAGCATACAGAGAAGGGAACTATTGTGTAATTCTTCCATACTGGGGAAAAGCTCCCCAGAAGTTTATCACTTAAAATAAGGTGTTAGCTAATGATTGGAACATGAGCTAATCTGTATATTTTATTTAATGAGAGGTTAACTTTGCTGTATATTTTGTACGTATGTAAATGGCACTTGATCGTTATTCTTTGAAGCATTATTTCTATAGTATTTGTATTTTAACAAACTTACTAGGCAGAAAGAGTGAGACTGCAAAAAAATAGGTAACTAAAAATTAGATAACTAAAGTTTCAGTTTCTAAATTATGCAGAGTTTTGAAGTGTTGCTGTGCAATTCTAGTATATCCTTTATATATAGGTGTGTGTAAAAGCAGAGATTATAAGTGTTTTCTTACAAGACTATGCAAAAGAGTTGGAAATATCTGTTTATGAGAATTGTTTTTTATTAAAAATGGGCTGTGGCAAATGCAACACTGCCTATTTCTGTGCATTATCAGCAACATTATGATATTTAAAACGATAGACACGATGCAGGCACTTTAACTAGATAGCAAGCTCTTATATAAGGCACAGGAGTGTAATTGGTATCCTTGTCTAATTCTCTTCATCTACTGACCTGACTGTCCATTTTGGCTTATTTACTACTTTAAAGCCTAACCCATAAAGAGCCCTTCTTCCTTCTGCACCTAACAGAGCTTTGTAAACCAGAATAACAGAACACATGCAGAGGTACATTAAAATTACATTAATCTACTGATGGGTTTATGCTGCTGTTTTATTTAAATATAGATGATAAGCTGCAGTTGTAAAATGTTTGTATGATTTAGTATGTTGCTTTCTAAAATGATGTCACAGATTTCTTATCAAACAAGAGATATGTAATAGAACAATAAAATGTCAGCATTTTCATTTTTTCAACTTCATTTTTTCAGCTTCAACTTTTTTAAAAGCACTTTAAAATGTAGAAGAGCATAGAATACTATGCAGTTTTTCCAAAATGCAGGGCAAGGAAAAGAAATGAATGAGCATCAATACAGTTCCACTATTATAAATTGCATTCATCTTATTTATATTAGGAAGTGATTGATCTCTCTTTGCTGGATTAAGCCCAAACAGAGTGTATTTTCTGAAGCAGGTCTCTCAGTGAGGAATTTTGGCTACATTTAGAAAAACGCTTAATTCTTTTTAAAGGATTCATGCTTTATTTATAGATGAGCTGCAGAATTTTCCTTTTCTTACTCACTAGCCTACAGAAGCTAGCTAACACTGCATATTCTTTCTACATTAAAAACATCTTTTCCATTGATGACATTCAGAGAGCGATTCGTATGACTTTTGAAAACTGGATCTTAACAATGAGTGCCCATTGAAACTTCTCGAGAGTTTTTCTTCCACAAGAAATTAAACCTGCTTTTCAACCGTGCTCTTCAAAATATGTTTCTTCTGTCAGAAACAGAAATATATTTTTGAAAATAGAAAAATGGTCAGGCCAGGCTTGAAGTTTTTTGAGAGTTACTTTCTTTTCCAAAGCCTAAGTATTTTTACAAAGATATTTTCCACAAAAAATAACCCCTTAATGAATTACATTTTCAAAAAAAAATCAATTAGTACTAGTCATTGTGCCTAAAACGAGCCTGATAAAAAGCCTAAGCTTTGCAAGAGCTCAGGTTTGGATCCAAACTTTGAGAGTGAGGCTATCCCCTAGGGAAAAATATATCATTCTAGGTCACGCACTACTGGATATATGCATTCGTGAATAGCTTACTGAAGTCATCCCAGCTGTAGCTACTGCAGAGATTGGTTTGTTCTTACAGAATCTTACAGATGTTGTTTGTTCTTACTTTGATTTGGGCCTTTCTGCTTCCTAGTTGTCATTAATTGATTCTTTTCATCATTTCTCTAACTATATCACAGACTAAAGCAAGCTTGCAATGAAAAATATCTTATTAAGTAATTAAAGCTGTTTGTTTCTTACATATTTTACAGTAGGATCTTTCTCTGGAACAGATGTGCTTTTCCTATAAGACAATACCAAACTGGCTTTTACGCTTAAGGGAAAAATATTAGATATTTGGCAGATACACTTACCTCATCCATGAAAGGAAAGGGAGTGAATATACAGACTTTTCAATACTTAGGTGTGAATCTGCCCTAGGCAACGATGGCTGGCAGGTATTCTCTTTTATGGATTTGACAGTACTGGCACACATCTAAAAGCTCTGCCATGGTTGTTACTGTCAATAGCTTATAGCGCTGTTGGACAACAAGGACTGAATGGGCATTGGCACTGAACTGTGTTCTTACATGCAGGGACAGATTCCTTAACTTTGTCTAATTCTTTTGAACTGTGGGCAAATCATACCAGCTGATGCAATAACAGCAACTTGCAAATGAGAATTTGCGTAAAAAGAGGAGTCCAGAAAAGTAGAGTTCTGAGGATAAATTAATAAAAAATTGTGAGACGTTCAGATTCCAACCTGCCTCCTGTTACCACAGACCTTAGACTTAGACTCCAGTCATGAACTGGAGATTTAGTTCTGCCATGCAGAATGTTTCAGTGTTACATTTTTCATGGGAAGAACTAACATACTGACCTAACCCCAGAGCTATCCTTATGTTTTTTTTATTCTTTTAATCCACAAAGAAATTTAATCTGCTTCCCCATGAGAGCTATTTAATAAAATCCTTGTAATTGAACTGCAGAACTTTTATATTCACATCTTATCTTTCCTCACCATACTTGTTCACCATATAAATTTGAATAAATTCCTAACTGAAACTTTGACATGTGAGTGAAGGAGGAGACTCTTTCCACTGATCCAAAAAGTTCACTTAGACATGCACTGACTGAAAAGTTCAGAATATCCCTGTAGCTCTGGGACCTCAGACCACACACATATTTGGTGGAAGCCAAAGAATAGTAAGCTCATTATTTTAATAGAGTGTGATCTTTCCCCCACCTGCAGAGATAAAACTATTGCTGAAAAGCTTTAAAAGTACGTGGAAAAAGATGTATGTTTTTATTTTTAAAAAAAGAAAATGCAAATGGAACAAGGTCAAACACAAGACACTTTCTACCAGTGTTGTCCAACAGTAAAAACCTCCAGTGAGTACACTGAACCAGAATAACTGTGCATGGCAAAAACTGAGGTGCTTTCTTCATGCAGTGATTTACAACTGAGGAGTGAATTCATAAAGGCTAATTTTATCCCAGTGACACTAATCTTGCTAAGTTTGTCTTGTAGAAAACAAAAAGAAAACGGCTTGTGTAGAAGCAGTTCAGAGGGGCTAAGATAGGTTTTGTGCTCTCCATCACCATCCAGAAAGACTCTCTTTCATGCTGTCTTTAGCAGAGAAAGAGGGGCCCCTTCAGAAGGCAGCTAATCAGATCCTATTTTAGATACTTAGATGAAATAAAATTTAGAGATTCCCACTTTTTATTTTATTTAAATTTACAGGAAAGCTTGTCTATTTTTCCAGCTGTCTTAGTTTCACAACAGCTACTTTTTCTCCCCATGCACCTTGCCTCCCCTTTTTCTTTATACTATCACAGCTCGGACAGTGCTACAAATATGAGCTAAGATTGGGCATAAAACTTTGAGACAGCTGGATGAAAAGAAGTCCTGTCCTAAACCTCAAGGAGTGGGTGTTTGAATCCCATTAGAGAATAGTTCTCACAGTCTGATATGTGTATTAAATCAGAATTGTTAATAATACATTTGAACTAGTGGAAGGGTATGGAACAGTGGTGACACTGAGACAAATGTACATGGTCCAGCTTGGTATTTGTCAGGGAATTTGACATTAAAAAGATTGAGAAAACTGTGACTCAAATTGCTTAAGGTCTCAGAATCTTACTTTCAGTTGACAAGATTAAGCTTTCAATCTACTTGCCTCACCAGCCAAGGCAGTTACAGCTGCCTTGATCAAGACCTACAGGGACTAACTCTAATAAAAGAAGTACGCACCTAAAGCAGGATTAAGATGGCTGTCAGGCATTTAAATCCAATCTAGTAATCTCTGCTCAGCTGCCACCCAACCAGGAACATGCCTAAACTCAGAAGGCACCTCCCTTTCCCATAATGTTCCCTCAGTACCTACAGTTTTATTTTCAGTCATGCCTAGAACTGCCCTTGTTTGAGTAACTTGGCACCTAACTCACGTCTAAGTCCCATCAGAACCCCAAAATAAGGAGAAAAAAATGCCTTGGCACCCTGAAAATACACTTTGTGCACATGAGCAGTTGTCACAGAGTGAGTCTCAGTGCACCTCAGACAGGCAAAAATAATCTCGTCTCTCCCACATGTTGGATTAATCTTCTAACCATCAGGCTATTGTCAAATGTTTACTGGCAACAGTACCCCCATTTAAAAGGAAATCATCAGTTGCTAGAGGTTGTGAGAAGGAAGGAATGTGAGGGGATCTCTCTGTCCTTGATAAAACTACTCCTTTGACTCAAGGACCGAATAGGCCAGATAAAAAAAATACCTATGTGAGAGCACTGTGTAAATTCTATGAATTGGTGGTGAGGGGCACCCACCCAAGTGGAACAGTTCAGATCCAGTAACTTAAAATTTAAAATATAGAAAGCCTGCTGAGAGTGAAGACTGACCAGCCACCATGAATCCTCCTAGTCTGTAAATCATGGAATGAGGAAAGCATCAGGCTTCATTTTAAACCCATCCCAGTGCTTACTATCACACAGTAGGGAGAGAGCAGTATCACAGCAGATAAAAGCTCATTACCAGAGGTTCTGGCATCTCAGGCTTTCATCCAACTCCCAAAAATGTGCATAAAAGGATGCACTTAAGCAGTCAAACAGAAGACTCCTAAGAGCATCAGAGATCTTCTGATTTTCTGAGTCAGAAAGAAGAGCTGAGCCTGAGTTTTGTAAGCACTCTGCATAAGGAAGGCTGCTCGCTGACAATCTCTCTTATCTGACAGCCTGGATGCTGTTGAGACTACACATGAAGAGAACAGTTTCTCAGGGCTGATTCTGATCTTGCTGACATTGGAATATATTAGGAGTATTGCTAATACTGGAATTGCAATAATTGCACAACAAAAAGGAGCAGGGGACGAGATGTGCAGAGTGGAGTGAGAGGGAGCATTTGATGCCAGAGACACTCAATGAGCAGTCATGCACATTTAGTTCACTCTTATGACTCATTTTCTGACATTATTGTTTGAGGAATTTCATCCAATCCAACTTTTGTGCTGGCTTTTTAAAAGAAATATTTCCTACGCATATCAAAAGCTTTCTCAAAATGGGAAGAACTGCTCACAGCTTGCACATAAACGCTTCTCCATGTTTACAGTCAGTTCTGAATCCTGATGTTTGAAAATTCAGTTAAAGCAAAGCTTTGGAGCATAAAAAACTTTTTAAAATTAGGCATAAAATGCCTAAAGCTGGTGTGATGGAGAACGAAGACAGGCAGTGATGTGGCCAGCTAAAGTAGCATATATCAAGAGGTGACCTGGACAAAGCTCAATGAGAAGACTGTCTGGGTGCATTTTTCATACAACAGGCCACATAGCAATGGGCTATGATTTTAGTCTCTGCAAACATAACTCCCACACATTCACAACATGTTAGTACCTATGTATGTACCTATCTCTGTAGGATGTTTTTGTAATATTCAAGCTCAAATAAGCACTTCTAAGGTTCATCAGATGTGACAGATCATTTCTGCTGGTAAGTAGCCTGTTCTGGGGTTTATCTCACAGAGGTATAAATTTCACCAGCTTCCAATATTCCTCTAGCTGCACTAGGGCTGTGTGATTCAGAATTTTTTTTAAGGGTGCTGCAGTTCTGCAGAAACTATTCCAAGACCAGAGTAGCATTTCAAGCTAACAAATACATCCCTTAATTTAGTCATCCTTGAGGTATGCAATAATACTGAATGATGGGTCAAAATCTTCTGATGCACATGCAGGAAACTAGCTAATTAAAAAACTGTCAGCCTATAAATCAAAGACCTGTCTTTCTTTAGACAGGGTGAAAAATTTCACTGAGATGATGTCCCTCAGTTCACCCATGTGACTTTATGCATACACTGAAATGTCTGGAAAGCAGAAGATATTTTAGTGATGGCTTAAGCGAATTATTGCATCAATAAAGTCACTTTTAAAAATTACAACCAACTTGGAAAGTTGGAAAACATCCACCTCAGAAGTATTTGTTTTAAAGTTTATGAGCAACAGAAAACTTTTAAAATTCACTGCTAATGGATGACCATATCAGTAATACGTATCCACAGAGACTGCATTCTTAACAGGTGCATTTATTACATTTGTGCAGCCTACTTCCATCTTAGCCAATGGCTTGTTGCGGTCCTTTTTCTGTTGAGTTGCCAGAGCCAAATATAGTGCAGTTTGAAATTTTCTACTTCTCTTGTTGCAATTCTGTGCTAAATGGCATAACACTAACCCTACTTTATTTTGCTGTTAATGTGACAAATCTTACACTATAAGCTGATTTCCTAGCAGAACACTGATGGTTGCAAGCACCAAAAAATGCAGGGCTATAACTAATAGTTTATAGATGTGCAGTGCCATTGTAACCCTAACCTGAACCGTCTTGAACACAGCGAAGGACCCTGAGAGCTGTTACACCAACACATGCACCAGAGCTTATAGAGGGCCTTCAGAATAGAAGGCAAAGAGAAGGCATGGCAAAGAGTCACAGGGTCCCACCATGCCTTTTTAGAAGTAGAGTGCCAGTGGTTAATATGCATGGCAGACATGCATGGGTCAGTCTCCTCCTAGGAAAAATATTGTACAACTCAAGTGCAGGACTGTTAAATATTTGCATAGTTTTGAAATGAACCAGTCGGGAAAGTCTCCTTTTCTTCAACCCAAGGATGTCCAAGTTTCCACAATTGTTCCTGGGGCACTAATGGCTATGTGTAGACTGCTGTCAAGGCGGGGGGCGGGGGGGAAGGGGGAGGAAGAAAAGTCCTGCAAACTCACTCCT